CCCACATCTTGATTGCTCGGCCTAGCGGCTTAATCCTGAAGGTGAACAGGTGCTGGGTGAAGTCGGCTTAGGGTGCAAAGCCAAACCCTGACAATGGTTCCTCGTGGGGATACTAGGGAGACTATAGCCTCATATTCCTGTTCGGGCTTTTGGATGATAAATTATCAGACAAGGCCGTCAACCCCAGTCCCGCTGCACCCAACATTTACGGCCACGAGGCACTAACACCTGCGCTGCCCCTAATCCCTAAACCCTAAAGCTTAGTCCCTAAACCCAAAACCCTAGTCCCTAAACCCTAAATCCAAAGTACAGAGCCTGAACTTGAGGCTCAAAAGCTAAAGACCTATATACACTGCGCGGAAGCGGGCGAGCGAGCGAGGATCCTTCTTTGAGACTTTCCCTAGGGGTACAAGTATGCAAAGAATATCTACATTGGGCCCTGAAGCCTGTAAATCTGTATGTACTTGGGAGCTGAAATCTGTAAATTCATTTACTTGGACCCTGACCTCTGCAATTTTTTGTTTCCATGGGGCTATCTGGGTCCTTAGACTAAGGTATATAAATCAGATCAGACCAGCAAGTGAGCGCCCTGGTCCCTTGACAGTCAACTGAAACCTACATCCTAGAGCGTAAGCCCTAAGGACTACAGACTCAAACCCTGAGCTTTTAATTCCTAAGCCCTACAAATCCAATGGACCTTTTAAAGCCCTAATTCCTGACCCCCAGAAGCACCTATAGTCCCCCCTAAGTAGATAGAATATGGGGTATATGGAGATCTTCTTATAATATGCCCAAAAGCCATATTCTATCTACACTATAAACCCTGCGCCTGCTGACCTGTCCGGTAGGCTCTTAGAGGTGCTACGCTCTGCATGGGGCTGACGCGACGGACCTGACCAGAGCAGCTGCACGAGGGCAACTTCCAACGTGTGGAGCTTACATGAGCTACAGTCTAAACTCCTCAAAGGGGGTTATATAGGGATTCTATAGGGGACTACTATAGGGGGTATTAAGGGGATACGAGGAGTATAGACTATGGCTTACATGAGCTATAGTCTTTAAACTCCTAGCATGCCCCTTAATAAGCCCTATCCGTGGCGCGCTCTAAGCGATTCTAAAGAGGCTTCGAAGACCCAGGTGGGTATAGGGGGGTTGTAGATTGATTTTACTGGGAGGATAATCAAAGAGCTTAGCAGTTCAATCATTTAGAGCACCAAACCCCAAACCGCTGCCTAGGGGTTGGGTTTTGAGAGTCCACGGATAGACTTCGGAAGTCGAGGTATGCGGGGCGGAAGTTCTTGTGAGCGCGTGGTAGGTTGACAAGGGACTCAGGATTGTGCAGAAGCAGCATAGGTGGAACATAGAATTGGGACACATCCTTAGGGCTCCTGGGGGATATTTCAGGTCTCTACATGAAGGGTTCGAGCTTTTAGAACCTGAAGTACCTTGATGACAGGCTCTAAGGAAAAACAAATACTGAAGTCCTAAAGCACAGCCCCGTGTCCAGAAATCCGCGACGTTGAATGCAAATCAAGTTTTCAGTCCTTGTATTCTGAAGCCTAGGAACCTCACCCGGCCTCTACAGACCAGCGCACATCCATCAGCTGCTCATCCTTCACTGCAGATGCTGCTAACTGCTACCATAGAATGAAGGTTTAGGGGCTTTCGGGTCTTTAGTTGAAGATTCGGAAATTTAGCATTTTTGGCTTCTCAGGGTTCTGGATTCAGGGTTCAGGATTCAGGGTTTAGGAGTTAGGATGTTGCTTCCGTTTCAGGTGCCAGCCAGTCAACTGAGGAGATCTCGGCTATCCACCAACACTTTGTGAGCGCTTAGAACATAAAAGTTCAGAATTGCACTCCTGAAGAAGTGCAGTCCATGACGGATCAGACATGGCAACAACCAACGATGGTATTGACGAGAGTGAAGCTGACAGTACTTGTATTGAAAGATGATAGTAATATAGTAGTAACACGATTGGTATACTGTTGACTCGTTTTCGTCGCCGTTGTACTTGGGCATGTGGACCCTTCGCATCTGTGATAACGCAATTTCACGTGCCGTGTGCGATTTTGCCTTCTGAGAGAAGTGAAGGAGTGAACATCAGCAGCAAAACCTACATGGGGGGTTCCCAAAATTGGGGGTACCATTTTGGGGGTCCCTATAATACGGACTATAGTATTTTGGGTCTATATAGGGGTCCCCTTATTTTGGGAACTACCACATTAGCTCCCTACAGAACCCTGGACCCTCAACCCTTAGATGCAATTCCCGCCATAGTGCACGCGTCTACTTGCCACTCACCAGTGCAATTCCCTGAACACGTAGACCCGAGGACCCCGGCCCCAGACCCCAAAGCCTAAAATTCAAAACTGCATCCTTATACCAAAAGCTGGCTCTCACTGCGTTTCAGAAGTTAGGGGTCTCTCTGCTTGGGGCTCCAAAGAGCAAGGATAAGGGTGACCCTTCTTTTAGGAAACTCTCATGAAGGTCCTGCCAGGCTTCTTTCGCTTCGGCAGGTATCTCCAGACCCTGCCGAGTGAGCTAGAAGGAGTTTTCTGTAGATAAGGTGAGAAGAAGGAGGTGCGTTGCAACTACAAAGCAAAGATAATATTTAAAACACTCTGTTCATGCCATAAGTACGTATTGGAACCTTCCTGGTTGTCTTTGAACTGAGGAATCCCGTTTGCTACATGCCCAAAATGATGTTGATACTGGCACATGAAGTCGCGCCGTCGGAGAGACAACTGGTACTCAAATAACGCATGCTGTTGACACGTTGAGTACAAGTGACTGCAGCCGTAAAAAAAGAGGCCTATCCCGAAAGTCCCATTGCCACACAGTTTGGGGCAAAAGGTTTAGGACCAATATGGGTCTTCAACCAAGTCTCCTTCCCCCAACACCAGCGGGAACACCACAAGAAACAGATTCCCCCCAAATCACTGCCCGCCGGGAGGGCTGAGCTTCTTTCTTTCTTTCTTTCTTTCTAGTTTGGCGTTAAAGAACTTAAAGTCACACTATCCTAATGAGAAACCCTATACTTCACGTAACATCCATACATATTCGTGGCGAACTCGAGCGCCTCAACCCAATCTCTAAGCACAAGATGATGGAGTCGCAAACACCTAAACCTCGCCGGAAACTTGCGGGAGAAGCTGCTAGGGCTTGCCATTTCACACGAGTACCCTCTCTCCAAGCAACAGTGGAGCCCCATCAAAGTCTCTTGAAGGCAGAGCTTAATTTCAGGTTCCCTGCTTGCTTAGGGGAGGGAACTACAGATGCACAGCATTAAGATGACCAACATGCCATGGTTGGGCCGACAAAACCCCAACCAAGAAACGTCGCAAGCTGGTCCTATGGCTTCGCCTCAGCGTATCAGACAGCTGGAGCACATCTCGTACCACATAGATCCCCAACGCACTGCAAGTCCTAATCCTAGGGTATGGAATATGTAAGGTACTGCAAGATTGGTTTTTTTCATCATAGCTGCCTGTCAAGTTAATGAGTGAGAGCGGACTCGGGCCTCTCCAGCCCCCAAACCCAAAACAAGGACCTTCTGACTATCATTTGACCCTATAGGATACTTATAGTAGGGTTTGGGTCACCCAAATACTCTCCTCACTACTCTTGCTATTCTCCCTGTATACACACCCCTCCCCCCCACCAATTCCAACAAATTTACACTTTCACTTTCCATCATTTTCTAGATCCTAAACCCACTAATCCCTTCCTCATATTAATAAAACCCACCCTAATATTAAATAATAAATCAGGGACCCTAAAAATTCCTCATGAGCATTTTAAAAGGGGCTGTACCACTTTTAAAAGGAGCCAGACCACGATGAATTAGGGAAGGTTTTGAGGTCATTAGGGGGGCATGGTAGCAAATCCAAAGGAATTAGGGATCCCCTTGACAGGTTTTGGTTGATTGTCATATGGTTTTATAGAGGATCTTATATGTAAGAACTGAATGCGTGTTTACTGATTTTATCACAATTTCAGCCGTATTTAATTGAATCTCAATTGAATTTCATTTGATTTCAATTGGTTGTAAATAGATTTTAATCGATTTCTTTGGACTTTAAAAGGAATCTTAATTACATTTCACTGGGTTTTAACCAGATTTGAATTCGATTTCAATTGACTTTAAAAGAGTTTCGATTAAACTTCAAATGATTTTAAAGTTCTCTTAATTCGATTTCAATTGATGTTAAAAGGAATTTCAATTAAATTTCAATGTATTGCAACGGGATTTTAATTCGCTTTCAGTTGACTTTGAAAGGAATGTTAATAAAATTTCAATTGGTCTTCTTTTTTTCTTTTTTTCTTTTTTAACGGGATTTTGATTAAATTTCAATTGATTCTAACGGGATTGTAATTCGATCTAGTTGTTTTGAGAATTCAACAGTATTTTAATTGAGTTTCAATTGAATTTGGCCGGATTGTAATTCGATTTCAATTGATTTTAGAGAGAATTATAATTAAGTTTCAATTGATGCCAACGGGATTTTAATTCGTTTTCAACTGATGTAATTAATAAATTTGCTGATTACTCTGTAATTGATTAAGCAATCAAATAAGAATGATTAGTGCATACTGATCAATTAATTCGATTATTTCATTTAACTAATTATTACTTAATTTTAAATTACCTTTACCTTTTTTTTCAAAGGAATTTAAAGGCAGCCCTACCTAAGTCTTTCAATAAGTATCCACCCTAGTAAGAATAAATTTCTGAGCCCCCGGATTATTTATTATTGGGGGGGGACATTGTCCATTATTAGGGGGAAGCGATTATCAATTTTTGTGGTTGACAGCTCCACGGCAACGAGCTCCACTGATGTTGGTGATTTTCCTTGCTACCATGTACGCTTTATGACCCGCTGTATGTACATACGCGGCACTTGAAGACCCATATAAAAATGAGCAAAACAAAAGCTGCCAGCTACATTTCACCAGGCCGTCCCAAGAAACCCTGTGGAAACATTGGTAAGCTTCCGACATCTGGACCCAAAGGCTTGCTTCGATATGTACCTTGCGTACGTCATGTTTCTCAAAGCAAAGGGGATCTAAGTTTTCGTTGCGGGAATACTTCACAACGTAATACTGGCGGAATTGGCTGGGGTGGAAAGGGGGACCCGATCATACCAGCACCGCAAAGGTCGGAATTGAATCTCAAGTGTGCAACACTCAGAGTGGCACGTCTCATTGAATGCTCCATGATGCCAGTTGATGTGTGTTTATATATACACATACATACATGTACAAGCTAGACGCAAAGACCTGGCTGCAGCGCACAACAAACATTGCCCGTCTATGCTTAGGAAAACGTGTCTCAACTTGTTATAACATATGTTGAAAGCGAGGCAAAGGGACATGAAGCCCATGGTGAATGAAGCTGAGCGGCTTTCTGGCCACAATGCCTGTTGGTTTTTGATCTCCTCGCACACCTGCGATGACGGTCACATGGCATGTGCTGCACGGCTGACATCCGGGAGTTGCAAGCAAGAAGGCACAACCATAATTTTATTGCCCTGGGACATGAAACCGGTGTCCTGCTGCCATCTATGTTCTCGGAAGCTGCCCATTGGCCATGGCATCAAAAGGGGGCTGCCTTTTTTGGGGTCCCCATATTTCACGAAACGAACGACGCACATAGGTTGCATGGGGCACATGCATCTCGTGCCGAACTGTGCTGGAACTCTTGGCGCCATGCCTGTCCTGTCGTGTCGCGTATACAAAAGTCGGTGTGCTTCAGGTCTGACATCAAACCCATTGTTGACACACTTTGAGCAACATGTTCGCACGCAAAGCCACGCAAGACTGGCAAGCCTCTTGTCTCTTATCTTACCACGCCAACATGTGCTTGACGTCATTTGTGAACATACATTTCTGACCGCGGAAAGCTCGCCGGCAAAGTTGCGACGCGTATTCGCTTCCCACGAAACTTGTTCGAATATGCAAACCCTGAACCAATGTCGCCCGGATTGGGGTTGGGGTCAGGGCTCATGGCGGCACAGGTGCTTTGTTTAATTCGAGTCAAATGGTTTGGGGTTGCCAGGCCGCTGGTTGCAGTTTAACATGTAGCGCCACTGCTTCAAGCTTCAAAATTCCAGTTCAAGTTGCCCGTGCTGAACGCGAAAGCTTGGCCCTGAAACACGATTAAAACTTTGCACCTTGCGGTTAAAAACACTGTCTCGCTTCTCGTCGATTGGAGGCTCAATCTGCCGTAAAGCCTGTTTGGTCATGTCTGGTTCTACACACCTCCAAACAGCGGCGTGCAAGTCGACTACCTGTTCCAAATCAACTGCAGCAGCCGAACGCCGCTTGGGAGAATGCGCTTGCCCCCGGCCCCAGCTGCCAGGGATGCGCGTGGGGAAGAACACGCTGACGTTCTGCGCGGCTGCCAGCGCCAGGCCGCCCATGCTCATGAGGAACGCACTGAAAATGCACCTTGCTGACGGCTTGTGCGCTGCTGCTGTCACAAGCTGGGCCGCACGTGGCACGCATCCTACCTGTCCTCCCGGCCCGTGATGATGTTGCAATCACGAGCCCGTTTGTTTTTTCCCCCGCACCTTTTTGCGTCATCATCTCCGTCGCTGTGCAGCGCGCGCTGCCTACAACGCTCCTCGGGCTGCCAGTTGCGTCCGAGGATTGTGCTGCTGAGGCCCTCCAAACCCGCCTGAGCCGAGATGCTTGCCTGGGTGGCCTTGAGCACGCCGTCCCACGACCACCGGTGAGCGCCTGTGTCCTGCTCTCCAGCAAAGCCTTCGGACCGGTCTTAATTAGCAGATGCAAAGGGTGGTGACAAACAAGGAACTACAAATAATACGGCAAACAATACAAACAATACAAGTCATACAAATCACACCCGACATAGGTCATACAAGTCATGAATATAATTCTTGCAGATCATACAAGGAAATCAGGGAACAAAAGTAGCACGAACAAAACACGTTGTAGGGGTGGTACAGGTACCACAAATCATACAAATAGCACAAACGGTAGTACGATTAATTTGTACAAAATACCGGTGGGACGGACCATAATGCTGGATGCAACATCTTCTCGCGCGAAGCGAGGGCAAGATCGCCAAGTGCGGCGGCCGCGGAACAGGCGGCGCAAGCGCTCCACGAGCAGGGTTGTTGTGTGCCAACGTTGTGAGTTGCTGCGAGGAGGGGCGCCCCCCACTCGAAGGACCAGGCGCGGAGGACATCAGCCAACTGGGGTGCCTCAAGCTGGCCACAGTCACTGTGGACAAGCGGGTGCTCGAGATGCAGTTTGCTGATTTGGATGTTGCATCGCAGGCGCTGCTGCTGTCCCAAAGTGGCGAAGGAGCCAGCTGTGGGTTTCGGATTGTCTTTTTACGGAAGCTCCGACTGCCGCTGCCCCTCGCCCCACGGCGCTGTTGCTGCGTTCGAGCACCGCTCTGCATGCGCACGGGTAAGCCCGGGTAGGCGTCCTTGCACAGGGCGGGGCCGCTAGAGGGGGCAGCGGTACGCATGTGCTGCGAAACAGGGGCGCGGGTGGCAACTCACGTCGGGCTGCGCGATATGAACCTGGATGCTCCCGTGACTGATGGGTGGCGCATCCAAATCGTTGGCAATGGCCACGGCGCGCATGCGCACGGGTAGGCCCGGGTAGGCGTCCTTGCACACAGGGCGGGGCCGCTAGAGGGGGCAGCGGTACGCATGTGCTGCGAAGCAGGGGCGCGGGTGGCAACTCACGTCGGGCTGCGCGATATGAACCTGGATGCTCCCGTGACGGAGGGGTGGCGGATCCAAATCGTCGGCAATGGCCACGGCGCGCAAGCACCGCACGCACCCCGAACTCTTGAGTCCAGGGCGGGTGAGATGCCGGTTGGTTGTGCTCGGCATGGAGATCAGCGGGCGAATCAGTCACGGCGCCGCCGCGTTACTGATTCGGCTGGCTCGGGTGAAGGCCAAGCAGCGGGCACAATGGGCAACGTTCCAAAATCAAGGAAATTTAGGGACCCTCAAAAATGATAAGCTTATACGGATTTGAAGGTTCAGTTTTTGTTTTTTTTGTTTTCCGCACCGTTTTCCTCGTCATGAATCCCGTCCTGGTCCCCACTCCCCTTACCGGCAATGCGCGCTTGAGCGGGCGGCCCCATTGCGCGCACCATTCTTGCCTAGCGCTATCTAGCGCAGTGGCAGCGGACTTGGCAGCGTGGCATCAGCCAGGTCCAAAACGCCTGCCAAAGGGATGGAGTCGGCGTCTGCCGGGTTTAAAATTTAGGGTTTGCTAGCGCAGCGGGCGTTGTTCAAAAAAAACTATCGGTATTTGCCACTGAAAAATCACCAAGTGGGCGCTGTACAAAAAGTGGACGGCGGGCGCTCGCGGCCCTGCCGGCATGGCAGCAGCGCAGCGCCGCGTGAGGAGGCGGAGGAATGTCGTTGTCTCAACGCCAAACTTGCCACCAACCCCGAAGCCGACGACAACAAGTCGGCATCTGCGGGCCCGAGTGAGTTGCATGGGTAGGTGTGACGCCGTTTGCGCTTGGCAACGCTAGAGACGGCACGCGCCGGCTCTTTGCCGACGCTTTGTCGGTCATGTGAGGAAACACAAAGCCAAACACAGTGATGACCGATAGACTTTGGATTTTGCTGCGCTGTAAAAAATTTTCCGTGCGAGTTGGGCAAAAAAAAGGTTCGGGGGCAATGATCAGGGGACCCCTTCTCTTTCTTTTCACCCGACCTTTTTGCACTCGTTTCGCGCGCTCCCACTGCACGGGCCAGGCCACGACCAAGTCCACCCTTTCCCTCTCCACAACGCGGCACGTGTTCCTGCAGTGGTATAGCTGCCAGCGGCGCGCGCGCGAAACATGCCAGGAAACACGACGCAACCAATTTCGCTGGCATTTGGGCCTTGTTTGCATTTTCCTGGCAAAGCTGCGATGCAAGAACGCCCGGTGTTTTACATACATGCGGCTACACCGCATCTTTATGGCCATCATCGAAAGGGACTGCTACCTCGCGTCAAACCGACTTTTGTGGGGAAAACTGGGGCCAGTTACAACTCGCATGGGGTTGCAGAATGCCCTCCCCCTAGCCCTGTGCAGCATAATCGATTTCCCTCCCTCCTCATCATTCCGTGTCCAATTTTTCACACACCCACAGAAATGTCATTATGCTTGCGCTGCGGGCCGACCAGCAGCACGTCCTGCAACAACTGTCTGTCAAAGATCAAAATGAATGAGTGCCGCGATTGCCGGATGCCACCTTGGGCTGAGCTCCTCGCAGACGCATGCTGGGAGGAGCGGCCTGCTTCCAGCCGCATGCTGCCGTCACACGAGTGAGCGCTCATGCGGGCTGCACAGGCACCAACTCCCTTGCATGATCGCAAAGGCCCATGGTAGGGGAAAAACATGTTTTTTTTTTCCCCCTAGCCCTCGCTTTTTCCCAGAGGTCCCAGTGCTGAGGCAAAATGCCGGGGAGCACCTCGCTTTTTTCCTAGGGCCATAGGTCTGTTACCCCGGTGCTGGGCGGCTGCCTGTAATCCCATTAGCAATCTTTCAGCAGATATCGAAAATCTATTTGTTGAAGGGAACTCCATAATCAGATACATATATTCAATTTGTTTATAGACTGAACATCAACAGTAAACCCGCAACCCTCAACGGGGCTCCTCCGAAGCCATCCTGCTCTCTGGCTGTTGAGACAAAACAGCAAGCGGCAGACATCCCGTTGCTATTTGATGTATTTCTTTTGTTTAATCTTGTTTATGTTTGACATCTTTATTCTGCCAGCATCATTCAGCATCGCCGCCCCGCCCCTCCCTCCGTGGTGATTCCGCAATGGCCTGGCACCAGGGTAACATTCAGGACTGTCAGGGGCTGAAGATGGGGGCGTCTGCGCAAGGCTTGACATAAGCTCCAGTCATCGGATCCACAGAGGCATGGCTGATGCAAGGCTCGATGAAGGGCCGCGCGCCCATCCGGGAAGGGATGGTGACCACACCTTGCCAACGTCCATTCGCGGACGAGAGATGCAGGCGACCTGGAACAATAAACGCTAGATTAGAAATCGATCCGTTTTTTGCGACGAATGAAATGATGAATCTCAAGCCGTTTGGACCGAAAGATTTCCCGCGACTCACTGGGCGTTCACGACACCAACGGCGCCAAGCAACATTCTTGGAAACCATTTGGTCGCAATACTCGTCATCCCACTCATCCCACCAGTCAGGCTGCGGCCGCCGTTTTTGACGTTTGCTGGAATCCCGTGGGTTGGCCGCAACCCAAAACATCTGAACAAACCCGCCGTACAAAACATCAAATATGACACGGCGAACGTCAACACAATAATGACAGGCATTACGGCGGAAAGAGAACACTTTAACCGACCAACTCAATAACTGAGGGCGCAAGGCCTGCACCAGCGGCCTCCAACCGCGCACACGTGGCCAACATGGGGGCGTAGCCTCTGTG